AGCTCTTTCCATGTGTCTCCATTATATTGGATGATCTTTGGGTTTCTTAATCCCTTTTTGAGGATCTGATTACCTTTTGGGTTTTTTTCCTCATCTGTGAACAACAGTTTGCTCACCTTGTCTTTCCTATAGATAATATCTGTTATCTTACTTTGGGTTTCTTTGCCAGAAATGCTCCCAAATTTGATCTCATCTTATATTAGTAAAGAACCTTGGTTTGTGGTTATCTGTATGATACATATGCTTGTGCTAAGGAGGATAAGTCACAAAATTCTTGGGAATTCGTATTACTAATAAAGTGATAAATAATATTCTTGTAATTAGCTGTTATTCATGACAAATGTTATAAAAAGTGACTTTCTGTTGCAAAATAGTGTGAGCAATATTTTGGTTTTTTGTCTTGTCAATTCTTTCTTGATTTGTTTGAGTATCATAGATGTTTTATCAACAATTTCTTAGGTTGATTCATGAAAAAATTGTGTATTAATTCTTGGAATTTTAATGATAATCAGTTTGTTTTTCTCGCTTCTTAGCATCTGCTTTGCATGTATCTAACTTTCTGTGCTGTTTGTAATTGGAGTTGCAAGATTTGAAGGCTAATCCTTATAGATTTGAAGGCTAATGCCTTTGAACCCTTTCAGAACCACATTTGTGCAATTTTCCCCTTTTATTCCTGTTAGGCTATTACACATCACAACTATGACCGAAGTATCTTGAGGGATAATCTTGACATGCTATAATCTAAAGTAATATATGGGTAAGAAGATTGGGTAACTGAGCAAACATGGTTATGAATTTAATTGCAATTTGATCAAGATGAAAACTTCTATCATATATTTGGTGTTAGAAAGGCTGAGTTTTGCATAGTCTACCAGATGATTGGATGCATTTATGTAATCATCTAATAAAAAGTTATAAGCTATGCCCTAATGTCACTCATGGTTGGATGTAATTATGTTCATCTCATAATCCCTATCCCAACCTGAAGCGGGTTGTGTGTGTCAAATGAGTTTCCTGCTTTAGTGTGCATTTATGTATCATCTCATAAAAAATTATAAGCTACGGCCTTATGTCACTGATGGTTGGATGCATTTATGTTTATCTCATAATCCCCAACCTAACCTGAAGCGAGATGTGTGTGCTAAATGAGTTTCCTGCTTTAGTGTGATAATCACATTCTACCCTTGTAAATATCGCCTATTTTAGGTGCCCCAAACAACTGAATAAAGGAGACCTAGATCAGTTTTTCCCCCCCTCTATTTTTTTGCTATTTAAACATTGCCTTTGTTGTTGCTTCACAATCCCTCCTCATCCCCACCCTGCACTATAGTAAGGAGCGGAAAGAGTTTTGTAGGGTCCTTAAGGTCTTGTGGAGTTCTTACCTTGCAGTTTGTAAGTAGGAATGGCAACGGGGCGGGGCGGGAATACATTCCTTGTTTCTATCCCAAGTAGGAATGGCAATGGGGCAGGTTGGGGCAGGTTGGGGATTATACTCCCCGTCCCCGATCCCCGAAGGTGCTAAATTCTCCATCCTCGCCCATGATCCCCGGTGGGGAACCCATCACCCCCCCTCCCCCGGCCCCTGATTGGGGATCGGGTTTCCCCGACCCCGAAATATCCCCGACCCTTTTTTTTTTTTTAATTTTGTTCAACACAACACAACACAAGAACAAAAAAAAAATGAATCTGTTTTCATCATCATCATCAACAATCTGAATCAACAGCAATCATCAACTTAAAATAAAAAATAAAAACTGAAATTGAAATTGAAGAGAATCACTTCATTTATTTTCATCATCGTCATCAACAAAAAATCTGAAATCTGAAAAAAAAATAAAAAAATAAAAAAATAATAATCCAAAATCACTCATAGAAATCAAGAAAGACTAGATCGTTGAGGATTTAATCTGTTTTCATCATCAAGAAAAATTTAACCTCATTTCTGAGGGGCGGCGGCAGCGGCGATGCTGAGGGGAGTGGTGCCGATGCCGAGGAGGCTGGCTTGCTTCAACTCTAGATTGTTGAGGAAGATGAAAGTGAGGGGACGACGAGGATGATGAAGGTGGTTCTGGCGATCCACGAGGTTCCGGCGATCAGAGACTGCGACACCGCGCCTGAAACCCTAGATAGAACCCCTTCGTTACCACTGCTGCTCGATTTACTGAAAAAGAGAGAGAGAGAGAGAGAGAGAGAGAGGGAAGAGAGAAACCGAGCGAGAGAGAGAGAGGAGATGGAGAGAAGCATCGTCTCTGCCTCTGCCCAGCAGAGATGGCTCTGTGTTGTTATAATCACACACACACACAAAACCCTAATCATACACACACATATGTTATATATAAAGCAGGGGCAAAAGGGTAATTTCACATCGGGGGACAGTCAGGCCGGGGTCGGGCCGGGACCGGGGCTGGAACATGTATCCCCCGTCCCCGGCCCGAATATCATCGGGGATTTAATTTTTAATACCATCCCCGGCCTATCGGGAGTATTTTTCGGGGATTAACCACTCCGGGGTCGGGGGATCAGGTCCCCGTCGGGCCGGGTTCCGATTGCCATTCCTATTTGTAAGGTGTCTTAGGGTCCATGTCCTTATAATGCAGAGGTAGCAAACCTTTTATTTCAAAAGATCCATAACAAAGTGAACAGTTCTGACCATTCAAAAAAAAAAAAAAAGTGAACTGTTCTAAATATTTATATTCAACGGGAATGATACTCAAGATAAACCAAATAAATAAAACCAAACTAAGTCTTGTGTACCAATCAGCTGGGAATGGTACTCTAGAATTTAGATAGGTGCATGTTAATACAACATAATACTTCCTTTTTTTTTGTGTTATTTATTTAGTTCAATTAAATTGTTCTATTGCTTGTCTAAATGCACTGTACTTAGTTTGATTAAGTTGTATTATTAGAATTGTAAGCCATACTACAAACTCATGTACTTTGACAAAATATCTTCAATATTTTATCAAAATGATGTTGATAGTTCTGTAACAAGATGGCATGCTGTGATTGGTAATTGGTTAAACAAACAAGAAGTGGTAGCAGCAGAGACATATGCTCCAAAAGTATCTTCAAAAACCAACGTAGTGGCCTTTTGAACTCATTCTTTGTTGAAGTTGCTTTCTCAATTACCACAAAGTTGTCAAAAGAAGAAATCTTTTATTTTCTTTTTTGGTTTTTCATGTTATATTATTATTGGTTTGAGCTTTGAAGCATTACTTATACTTATCTGTTGTGTAATTTATAGGTCATTGGATTGAATAATGTTCCAATTGCTGGTAATGAATTCGAGGTTATTAGCTCCCTTGATGTTGCACATGAATTCGAGGTTGTTAGCTTCCTCGAATCAGGTTCCTAGTTTGGGAGTTGGAGCCGGATTTCGGTCTAGGCAAACTAGTTTCTTAAGAAACTTAGAATTTGAGATGTTGATGCCCCAAAGTCACCAAACGGCATCGAATTAGCACGAAACTTGGCACACACGAGCGCCTAGGCACGAGAGACTTGTGGGAAAAGATGAGACTCGAATCGCGTTCTCAATTTGGGAGTTAGAGCCGGATTCACTCTAGACAAACTAGTTGAAACTTGAATTCAAGGTGTTGACATCCCAAAATCACCAAACGGCGTTGGAGTAACTCGAAACTTGACACACACAACCGCCTAGGCACGAGAGACTTGTGGGAGAAGACGAGACTCGAATCAGATTCTCGGTTTGGGAGTTAGAGCCGGATTTCACTCTACACAAATTAATTTCTTAAGAAACTTAAAATTCGAGGTGTTGACGCCCCCAAAATCACCAAATGGCGTCGGAGTAGCACGAAACTTAGCACAGATGACCGCCTAGGCATAAGAGACTTGTGAGAGAAGACAGGACTCGAATAGAGTTCCCGGTTTGGGAGTTAGAGTCGGATTTCATGCTAGGCAAACTAGTTCCTTAAGAAATTTAGAATTCGAGAGGTTGACGCCCCAAAATCACCAAATGGCGTCAGAATAACACGAAACTTGGCACACATGACTGCCTAGACACGAGAGACTTGTGGGAGAAGACGGGACTCGAATCGAGTTCCTGATTTGGGAGTTAGAGCTGAATTTCATGCTAGGCAAACTAGTTCTTTAAAAAATTTAGAATTCGAGGGGTTGACACCCCAAAATCACCAAACGGCGTCGGATTAGCACGAAACTTGGCACACACGACCACCTAGGCACGAGAGACTTATGGGAGAGGACGAGACTCAAATCACGTTCTCGGTTTGGGAGTTAGAGTCAGATTTCGGTCTAGGCAAAATTATTTACTTAATTATCTTTATAATTGTATAGTAGTTAAATTTTTATATTTTTTTGTAATTAACATATTAACACATAAATTATATTGTCACTAATTTTTTATTTTTTGTTTTCAGATATTTTCCGAGTAAGAATTTGCTTCTTATGAAATGCATGCCTGTGAAAAAATAACTTTTGTTTTTGTTACCCACGGAGAATGATGAAGAAAACTTTTAATTTTAGTTTATGTTATTTTGAATTATGAACAACTTTATGTATTTAAACATTATATATGTATTATGGAACATTATGTAGTGTGGTAATTTTGTTTTTATTATGGAAAAATTGTATAATGCAAGAATGTTTTTATTATGGAGAAATTATTATTTCTATACAGGAATTTTTATATTATTATACAATTATTGGTTTCTTTTTCAATTGTTTTTCATTTAATACAGGTAATTTTAATATTTTTAATAATTATATTGTAGTTTTTTTTTTTTTTGGCGATGGCACCACACCGTCGCAAAAAAAAAAACACACAATTCACAACAACATTAGTTGCCGTCTCAAATAAGACTTTTAGCGACAGTAAAACAGTGTCGTCGCAAAAGTTCTCACTTTTTTACATATTATTGGCGACAGCAAAATGCCGTCGCAAAAAGCAACAATTGCCATCGCAAAAAAAAGGCGACGGCATGATGTCGCTAAAAAGTTTTTGCAACGCCTTCTGTTGTAACCTTTCCTTTGCCGTCGCTAAAAGTCATTTGCTGTCGCTAAAATTTTTTTGAGACGGCATTAAGAGTATTAGCAACGGCATTTTGCCATCGCAAAAACCTGAATTTTTTGTAACTTCAGCTTCTCCAAAATAACCTACCTCCCTAGAGTCACTGCCCTTTATTTGAAGACTCGGAATATTTGATTGCAGCAAAGCACTTATTATGTCAGAGCCATTCATATAAAAATGACTATAATTTTTGTGAATTCCATTTTATAGTTTCCTCAATTCTGAAACAAGTACATAGGGAGATGAAGATATATAGCCATGGGAGATAAAAATTAGACAAAAAACTATTGTGGCTCACAGTGGGGAAACCCCAGTCAAAGATTAAATTAACATTTTACAGTGAATTAAACTTATCAAAAAATGAGGAATTATATTTTAGAGCAATCATATCCGTATGATAATTCGATTCTTGCTAGACCACTAATCTCCTACTAAGAAACAAACATAAACCCTAAAAGATCCATGTACACAATCTCTTATATAATAATTGACTATTAACATTATACTCATGGAGATTGTGCTGATTTCACATGCATCGTGCATTGTTATGTTGTTCATCTCTCTGCTAATATATTCGAACACAAACACAATTTCATATATTAAAACAATGTAAAGGTATAAAAATTGCTCATAATCAAAAGTCATAGCTCAAGATTCAAAGCAAATGTATTAATTATATACAAAATTCTCCAATTACAATGAAACATTCATCAAAATTTAGGCATGGTCCCCTCCCAGCTCTACTGAGCTTAAAACATTCCTTAATTTACATTCTCCAACACTGGTCGGACTTCTTCATATGGTTTCCTTCTTTCAAAACAAAATCTTCTCCAAATTCGATAACATTTTCATAAAATAATCTCTAAAGTTGAAGTCTAAGTGTGTTTCCAATGTTTTGTACTCAAAATGTAGAGCAAAAGATTGTCCATATGGGTTTCATGTGGCTTTGCTTTGTTTGCCCAACAAGTAGCACCCACAACTTCCCGACAAGTGGCATCATCACCTCACCCTTTTTTTTTAATTTTCTTTGATAATACATAATTTTTTACTAGGTTTATTTGGATAGTTACTTTAAAATGGAGTATTATAGTGCAAAAAATAGATGAAAGGGAATTGGGTTTGTTTCTTAAAGCAAAACAGTGAAGAATTTAGTAATTTGTCAATTCTGGAAGTAAAGCATCAATTGAAGAGAAAATAAAGATAAAAAAGAAAAAAATATAGAAACCCATCTAAAATGATTTGTTTATAATTTCATATGCAATATATAGAAACTCGGATTTGGGATTCCTGTTAGGCCCAACAGGGTCTGCTATGTCTTTCAATATGATCAACTCCAAACCCTATTCTATGATTCGAATTATTCATTTTATAAAACCTATTAAGTAATCTGGTATTCATAACCATATGATCCTATCATATCTTTAAAAAAATTATCAGCAAATATGAAAAAAAAATGGATGTTCTTGTATTTACAATCTTTGAACATTTTACAATAGGTAGGTAGTTCTGTTTTGGATTCTTCTTGAGGTGACCCTTAAGGTAGCCCCAAAGAGCCCAAAATGATCTGAAACACCACTTGCCATTGGGAAGCAAAGACAAAATGGGGAATAGGTTCTACGCTGGGCTTGTTTGGTGCACCTTTCTCAAGTTAAAATTAATAATAAGAAAATATAAGTAAAAATATGTTTCTCCTAACTCTTAAACAATAAATTTTTTCAACTTATTTAAATTATTTTTACTTTATAAGATATAAGAAAAGAAGAATATATATCAAACACTATAATGCAAATTTTTTAAATTTAAAAAAAAAATATATATATATATAAGCAACTCTATAAGCTACCAAACAGGACCACTCTACTTCACAGAGATGTGCATACCACACCACTCATCAAATCTGGCATAGGTTGACTAAAAAACAAATCTAGTATAGTCATGATTTTTGGTTCCAAATTGAGTTCTCACCAACTTGTTAGTGACTGTGGGGGCTAGCATTGCTAGTTTGTCGAGACATACTGATGACCCACATGTTAAAAGCATACAAAGCCATCATTAAAGGCACAAACCCAATGAAGAAAACAAAAACAAGAAAACAAAAGCAAAGATCATAATCAAAACTCAAAACACTGGGTTTTTATTTTTGGGTACATTAAAAGCCCGTGGCTTGTTGAGGAAAGTATCGTATATAGTAAGGCTTCTCTCTTTAATCTCCTGATTAGCTCCAATTGATTACATACTTTTGTATCTCCAATTGATTACATACTTTTGTATCACCAAGATAATAATGTATATCTAATATGAATAATATTGGGCAAATATATCAGATATAATAAAACAAACTACATGGCATATATGATTTTTATGTCTATAATTAGATATAATGAGCTTAGAGTGAAACAAGAACTGGGTAATTAGCTTAATTGACCTTGGGTCTTCTGGGAACTTTTTTCTTTTTTCTTCTTTTTTTTTTTTTTTTTGAGCTTACATGTTCTTTGGCCTATTCTATTTTTAGACTTCATTTTTCTTGAGCTGGGGGTCTGACAAAAGAAATATAGCATCAATAGGTGCTTGATAAGTCTCTCACCTGTAGTTGTAAAAAGTTTTGATGTCATTGCACTAAAGTTTCTGAATTTGACCAAGGTGTTGTCTTCTCTGGGCTACAGTCTTCCATAAAGTCTTGCTGGGGAGAAACTGATTCTTGGTGTATTATTATCAGGTTTAGTTTTTCTGATATCGATATATTTTGGTATATCAGTTAAAATAAAATCTATATATTTTTTGATCGGTAAAAGAAAGACTTTTATTGATGAAACCAAAATGATACATATAAGAAAAACATCAATAAAAAAGGCAAGAGCAAAAAGTATCAAAGTGAAACTTCTAAATCCTAACTAGATTGGTACCAAGAAAACCACACAATCTGCTAACTCAGGCCAAAAGAGTTAGTGAGGAACCAACACACAACACTGCAACAGTCACACTATGCAGCTTCTAAAATAAAATCTATATATGTATTGGTTGGTATCTAATAGGTATAGATTCATCACCGATACTGCTGTGATACAGTTAGTTTTAGTTGCTATAAAACCTTCTTTTTTATTATTTTTTATTTTTTGTTATGGTTAATGATTTTAAAAAATTTATGATTACAACACCTAATTTTCAATGTGCACCGCTCAATACTCCTAATACTATTATGCCACTACTAATACATCCCAATACTACATTTTAAAACCATGGTTGGGTCTTAATACTGTTACAGGGGAGAAGCTCACAGCCTAGAGGTTCCAATGATGGTTGGGATGTAATGGCACAGATTTGTGAAAAAGTTAGTTTGGCTTCACAAAAGGTTGGTCTTTTGAGTGTTTTATTTTTTCCAGAGCTACCCTTCAAAAGCACCAGTTTAGGTAATTGGGTTGGTTGATTTGGAAAAGCTACTGAGTATATAAGTAGGTCTTCCTCATTTTAATTAATTAATTGATGTGTCTGGTCCATCTTGGAATTAATGTTTGATGAAGCTTCAGGTGATAATGGTATTTTTTTATGGAGTTGTGAAGAAATGGCTTTATAAAAACAAATAAAAATATGCATTAATATTTTTTCCGTTCACAAGATTAATTGAAAATTTTTAGAAAAAAAAATCCTGCTTTTTCATGAAATTTTCATTGAATCCTACTAACCCATAATAGTATTAATAAAATCCAACCAAAAATTTGTGAAAAAAATTAGGGTTTATTTTATATTTTCTCAAGATTAACTGGTTATTTCATGGAAAATGGAGGGAAAGTGCCATGTGGTGAGCCCAGAGGTGTGCACATGGCTTCTCTTATTTCCAAGTTTTGAGGCTCTAAACAGATACAGAGGGAAGCCAGGGTTTTGGGTTTTTCAAGGGGAATCAGGTGCAGAGAGAGAGGAAGACCGGCCTGATAACAAAAACCAACAGTGGTGAGAGGATTGGGAACTGTGACATTACAACCAACCTAGCAATTTAGTTCGAATGCTAGTCCAATTATTTTAACATTATACCCCCATTCCCTCTCTTTCTCAACTTGCTCCCTCTTTCCAAACAAGTTCATCTTTATGTCTATTTCCCCCACATCTCTTAAGCACAGTACACCTTAGATTCAAACAGGGTTTTTTCTTCCTCTTTCTTTTTCATTTTCCCTCCTGGCTTCTGAGCAAGAAAAGTAGTGGGGATTGCTAGTTTGAAAGGTGGTTGGTACTATGCTCTTTCATCTTCTGTTTTTTCAATCCAGAAGATAAGCATTTTTTTTTTTTTTTAATAAATCCAGAAGATATACTTTTTGTGTGCTAGTAATCTGTTTCTTCATATACTTCTCCAAATCTGTAATTTAAAGTTTTATTTATTTATTTATTTTCTTTTGCATTTTTCATAGTCCATGAATTTGAAAGACTCATTTGAGTGTCAAATGGCTTGTTCTATGTGTTTGTTTGCAGTTCTTGTTACATTTCTAGTCTGTCTCTGTACTGCTTTTTCGGGTTGTGGGTTCTTATTACCTCTTATCTTCACAATTTTCTTTGTTGTTTTATCTTCTGCTTTCTTTACTTTCTCAAAAAACAAACCATTGCTTATGGAAACATCAGTGGAACCAAAACTAGAGCCTGAAAGTGAGACTACCACACAACCTAAGGACTCCCAAGAAGCTGAAATAGTGCTAAGTCAGCTTGATGGTAACATGGTGAGACCAATGGACTCATTTTCAGAAATTGAAAGCATTGATCAGTCATCTATAACTGATCAAGATTCTGAGGAAGAACAAGAAACCAGCCCAGATTGGAGCAACGATTCGATTTCCGACGAGGAAAGCCTCATTGAAATTGCACTGCCAAGTGGGCACTATGTTGGTGGTCCTAATAAGAAAGAAGAGCCAAAGTTCAATTTGCAGCAGAAATTTTCAGACTTCTCTCTGATGGAAATCCTAGGAGACATTAATGAGATGAATGAGGAAGATAACTTGATAGAGATTGACATATCCATGGGCTCCATCAAGTGTTCAAGGTTTGAAATCGAAGCATGATCAGTTGCTCTCTCTTTTCTTTTCTTTTTTTTTTTTTTTTTTTTGGTGGATTTGGTTTTGTTTTTAATTAAGATTAGGGTTTATTAGGGTATATCTGGACCCTTATATTCTTTACTCTTTTTGGTGTTATGGGAGCAGTGAATTGTGAAGATTCTGCCCTTTCATTGACCTTGCCCTAACACAAACCTTGGATACCCTTTAAAGCACTTGTAGTATGGCTCTTTATCTTCTTTTAAAGTTTAAAGGCTATGGGCAAATAAAAAATAAAATAAAAATACATGGAATTCCACTTACATTTCCTTATCACTAATCTTTCTTTGGGGAAAAAATTGATAGTTTGACCCATGTAACAAACTAAATCTTGATCTTTTTTTAATTTCTTCTATTTTAAACTTAATATTTGAATTAAATGTCAATCTCAATCATCCGTGCACCTTTGTTACCTTGATTAACGAGGAAAATTTGTGTTAATTCTAAATTTGAACTTGATCAGACTACCAACATTTATAAACCATTCATTAAATCAAAACCAACAATCATGATGGTATTAAACCCACCACTCATTTCTCTTCCACACTGCCACCCTCCACCCCCTCGCTATCCTTTCCCCCCGCCATGCTACCACCATTTATAAGCCATTCATTAAATCAAAACCAACAATCATGATGGCATTAAACCCACCATTCATTTCTCTTCCACACTGCCACCCTCCACCGGATACAATATCACTGCTGTGCGTGAAGCACAACAGTGACTGTTGTGCAGTCCGTGAAACTCATTTCAAGTCCTATTTTAATGATCTAAACTGTTAAAAATTTTAAAAATATCGAGAACAATATAACTGTAAAAAATTAAGTTGATCGGCTATCAATAACCTATTCATCAAATAACATTTGTATTTAGTTTGATACATACATATTTACTTTTTTTTATATAAAGATATTATTTGATGAACAGGTTATTGATATCCGATCAACTTTAATTTTTTAAAAGTATATTGTTCTCGATATTTTTTAAATTTTTAACAGTTAGGATCATCAAAATAGGATCCGAAATGAGTGCCACGAGCCGCACAATAGTTGTGCTTTATGCACAGCAGTGACATTGGCTCCACCCCCACCCCCACACCCCCATGCTTTCCCTTCAGAACCCCACCATCCCTATTTCTCTTTCCCCCCATCACCCATCAGTTGATGTGTTCCGCAATGTCTCGTACGTTAATGGACAAGATCCTATCACTCCACATTTACCCGTAATATCATTATATTTAACATTTTGCCATGAATTAGATTTGAACTTCGAAGTTTATTAAAGATTCAACTTCTTAAGGGTCACCTCTATGGTTGTTTATCTAGAGTTAAATTTCTTACGGGTAGCTATTTGTTGGGGCTCAAAACGAGTTGAGTTGAGTTGTAAGTTATATAAACTTGATCTGTTTACCTTAATAATTTCCAATGTATGTTCAAGTATGGGTTGTTTATGGAAAATGTTTGAGGACCTTAATTTCTGTGGCTCAAATGGCTCAAATTTGCCAAAACGACGTCGTTTTGGCAATTTTGATGTCATTTTGTACTCAAAACGACGTCGTTTTGACAAATTCGAGTCATTTGAGCCACAAATTAGGACCTCTATCATTGTTGGTTGTTTATTTACCTTTCAAGCTGATCACAAGAAATTTTAATCGAGCCAATAATGAACCAGGCTCGAGTAGTTGGTTTTGCATCGTGTATATAAGTTTATCAAGCCAAATAGTTCCTCGTCCAAACTTGATTAAAACTTAATGAGTTTTAAATAGTGTTAAAGAGAGATTTTTTTTTTATATAATGATTTGATCTCAAAGAAACATTTAACAAATTAATTAAAGAACATTTGAAAGATGAAAAGTTAGAATTACCGATATGAGAAATCGGAAGCCCTTGCCCATTCCCTAGTGAAACGCACGACCTCTGGAATTGAAATTTCAAGAGAAATCAGTAGGATTAGTTGAATTTGAATTTTGAGAAGAAAGAATAAAGATTTATATCAACCAAAAAATTAAATTGGATGTGAAATCGAAGGAATGTAATTTGAACAATCTAATTTGACGGAGATTGAATTTGATGAGCAAAATTCATACGAGAATTTCCAGGTTTGGTTGAGATTGAAGGAGATGAAGTTGCCATTGTTGAATGCTCTGTTAGGGTTCTCATCCTCTGAAAATGAAAAAGAAAGAATAGAGGATCAATTTCATGGCCCAATAAAAAAAAGTAGCAAAGCTCAATTAGTAACGAAGATTAGAGCCCAAAGAGAAAGCCCAATAAAAGTTAGAACCCATGTGTGCACTCACATCCATGGAAAATCATCCACTTATAAAGCCTTCATTGGAGACGTGTGTCATCTTTTTAGTTTTTTGATTTTTTTAGTTATTTTAGTTTGGGGTTAAAAAATCTCGTTTGGAATGAATTTTTTTGACTGTTGTCAGAGAAAAAATAAAATGATTATAATTTGGATGTGACATTTTATCTTATTTATTTTTTAACCTATTTTATCTTTTTATGATTAAAATAGCCAAAAAAAACCATGCCAAACATAGCCAAAATTTATTTAGCAATGATTTTTTAGTGTATTTTTTTTGTTTAAAGTATGAGTCATCATATTTTGATTTTGAATGAAATTATTACAAAAGATGACTTTCTTATGTACAAAAAAAAAAAAAAAATTTTTTTTTTTTAAAAAAAAAAAAAAAAAAAAAAAAAAAAAAAAAAAAAAAAAAAATTGTATGAATATTATATTTGTATACATTGATGTTCACATTTTTGAATTATAACACATGATGTTGAAGTAAATATTTTTAGGTTTTTGATAGCATGAGTGCCCTAAAAATCCCAATTACGTCTGAGGCTTTGGTGCTGGAGGAAGCCAATGTCCTTCTAGCTTAGAACTACAACTTCTAAAAAGGTCTATAAAGTAGCTAAAGAATCTTGAAACCCCATAATCACCCGGGTAAATTGTTATATATAAGTATAAATTCTTTACTAAAAAATTTCCACCTGAACATTGAAAAGGCTATGTCATACCAATATAACTTTAAAATTTAAATAAAAACAATTACATAATATTTGTATATAAAATGATATGTCTGTATTTAAACTTATCTATTTAAAAAATATTTAATTATAAAAATACTACTATCACATTATTCTAATAGCAAATTCTTTATAGTATAAATAGTACAATCTTTGAGCATCTCATTAAGAAGTGAAACGGTTCAAATTTTGCTATAAGTTAGACTTTTTCAAGGTTTTGGGTTAAAATAGTCAATAAAGATAAAATAGCCTAAAATAGTCAATGAGACAAAATATTATATTTAAATCATAACCATTTCATTTTTTCTCTCACAACCATCAAATTAACTACAAAAAAAAAATGGTCGACTATTTTTCCATACAAAACTTTTTTAGTCAAATAGCAAAAAAGATAACTAAAGTAGTCAACTTCCCAAACGAGTCCATAAGAGTAGCGATTTATTAGAAGAAAAAATTATATTTTTTTTAGTAGATATTTATTCTATAAATAAAAAATTATTTTTTTATATTAAATGAAATGTTAAAAAAATATTTTATCTCTTTTGCAAATAGTAACGCTTTTATCAATCATAAAATTAAATAAAAAAAGAAATGATATATAAATTCACTTTATAAACTTACTTTTTAGACTCAATGATGTAGCATTCTATTAAAATATTTAAGTCAATTCTCTCTCTCATTTATTATCTAATCATTAATCTTATTGATACATCACTCAACCTAGGGTTGTTTTGAGAAGTTGGTAAAAAACTAGTTTTTGACTTTTTACTAAATTTTTTGGCTTTTTTTAGAGTGATTTTAGGAAGTTGGTAAAAAGCTGACTTTTTGCTTTTTAGTTTAATATTTATTTATGGTATCAAATCAAATCAAAATGACCAAAATATCCTTACCCAATATAAGAGATTTATTTTTTTATTTTTTTTCATAGGTCCTAATTTGTAATTTTAGGACTGTATTTTTGACACTTCTCAAAAGAATTTTGTTACGTTTTTGGCAGCCACGTTTCCCAAAATGGCACCTAGTAAGCGTAATTTTTGAGCCTAAATAGTAATACTTACCATTCAAATGGAATTTTTAAAAATTATTATACTATAATAAAAAAAATTATGAATTTAATTATTAATATTTATAATAATATGTAATCCTCCCTATAATTAACTAACACTTTTTTTTAATATTAGGTTTGGTTGACAAATTTAAAAAAGAAAAGAATAAAATAAAATGTAAATTTTATATAATTTTATACACTTTTTTCTTCTTCCTCCCCTTCTTCTTCTTCTTTTTTATTTTTTATTTTTTATTTTTAAATTCCTTCTCAAATTTTAATCAGAACCAGTCATCGGGAAAAGGGAGAAGAAGGAGTTGGCAAGTTTGGAGGCACATCGCTGTCCACGTGGCTTTATCTGATAAGACATCTTAAGCCAGGCTGGCTGGTGTGTTTTTTTCCTTTTTGGTCACTTACGTTCCTGCCGACACTTTAATGGGTCCCACAAAGTTTAACCCCCCACATGCATAATGCTTCATATTTTTCAATCCAATAAATAAATAAATAAACAAATTAAAAAATCAATAATTAAGAAAAAGATCTAACCATGCCCTTAACAATAATTAGTGACGAGAAACGACAATGTGATTGTTGGTACAACCATATTGTATTTGTTAAATCATCATTCATTTATCAATTATATAGATTTTGAGGGTTGGTGTACAACATTAAATTACTCCAATTAACAAAATACAAAATTTATCCCTTTTTTTTTCTTCTTTCTTTTAATAATTATCACTTGTGTGGAATAATTTAAATAAATATATTTTTTTAATTTTTTAATAAAATATGTGTAAAAAAATAAAAAAATAATGTGACCGAAATAAATGTATTTATTTAAAAGATACCAAACAAACTCAAATAGTAGTCATAGCTTCCTTTGCAATGTCTTAACTTTACTCTTGTTCAACTTACATTACGTTTTAATTTTTTTATAATTTGTTAAGTTCAATTTGATTAAAGATTATTTGAAATGAACTTAAAAAATAAATTAATTAAAATTAAACATATTCTTTAAAATTGATATTTAGAACCAAGCATAAATAACTCACTATTTAACTAGATTTTATTTTAATAACAATTAGATTATTTGAAATAGCTGTGTAAAAACTATAAGGTCATTCATGTATATTGATAGAATGTTTTAACATTAAAGTTCGTTTTAAAGCTATGTTTGGTTTTG